CCGCTGGCGACCCCGAGCGGGCCCCGGGCGGCGGTGGCGCGGGCGCGGACTCCACCTACGCCCCTGGCAACGGTTACCAGGAGACGGGCGGCGGTCACCATAGAGACGGGATGCTGTACCTGGGCTCCCGGGCCTCGCTGGCGGACGCGCTGCCCCTGCACATCGGGCCCCGGTGGTTCAGCTCCCACAGTGGTGAGTCCCGGGCTGCGCGGCCTGCGGAGGGGCCCCCGCCTGAGGGGCTCCTCTGAGGGAGGAGGGGGCTGGGGCGGGCTTCAGCAACCAGACACAGACCCCTCTGGGTCCTGTCTACTCTAGTCAGTGTGACTCAGACTGGATCCCTCCCCAGGGACTGATGCAGGCCTTGGCTGGTCTCCCAGCGCTAAAGGAAAGCTTTACATTTCCTTCACAAGGCCCTGGGCTTCTGTACTGCTCCTTCCACCCGCCCGTGGAAGCTAGCCCAAAGCATTCAACAGGAGTTGGGCTTGGGGGTAAAACAGGGCCCCGGCTGACAGACACTTGGCAGCTCATTGTGGCTTTGAGGGATGTACCAGGCTTCTCTCCAAAAAAACCAAACAAACAACCCCCCCCCCCAAAAAAACAAACAAAACCCCCAAACAAAACAGATTGCAGTAACCTTTTTTAATTAGAAGAAAGTTAGACAGGGAAACTTGTTACTCAGCTGGATGATGTCTGACTAAGAGCTGTCTGTTTCCATGAATTGGGCAAGTGTGTAGAAGAGGAACACTCTTGACTGCTTCCAACTCCATGTCACTGCCACAGTAGCTGGGTAACAGCTGAGGCTTGCATGAACTTGTAAGATTTGGGTTAAGGTCAAGATAAGAACTGATTTGAGAACTGAAGAGGCTTTTTAGAGGGTGTTTGTTGATTTGGATCATAAAATGTAAAGCAGAGGCCTGTCATTCCTGGGGAACTTAAGGGAAAGTGTTCTGCAACTGTGTACAATCACTATGATTCATGCTAGTGGCCCAGCTTTCAATACCCTGTTTGGAAAGGGGCTCTTTGCAGGGACCCCTATTGACTTCAGTAAACAGGAAGGAGGAGAGAGGCTTGCCTTATTTTTTCTGATAACAGGCTAAGAAGAGGCTAGAGCTTTGATTCCCAGGAGGAAGCAGAGAGAATGAAGTCACTTGCCTATTTAAGAAAACTGGGGAGCCAGTAAGGCCCTGCTGCAGGTAGAGTGCCACTCCCCCCCCCCCCCCCCCCCCTCCTTTTCTGATCTTCACTCTTGGGCCTTTACATTGGCCAGGCTTTAGGGCAAAAAGTTTGCTTTCCCAGCAAGACTGTATCCCTGACCTAGTTTTGGCTAGGTACAGAGATTGAGGTGGGAGTCCTTCTTCCCAGCAGTCATTTCAGGGTTATGTCTCCTTTTGTTTCCTGGAATACTGTAGTCTGGGACTCTTCCCCATCCTCTCTCCCTTTCAAACATTGTTAGTATTCTTATTATGTGACCTGTTCTGGGAATCTCCTAGTATATCATGAGACAAATGCCTCCTTTTCAGGAAGGCTTTTGATTAGGGACTGAAGCATGGGTAGAAGAGAATGAAGTTCAAAGCAAGACTTGCACTTCTACTCTTTCTCCCTCCTGCAGATCCTAGGGGCTGCTGCTCTCAGTTGCATTGAATCTGCTCAATGTCCTATATTAAAACCTCTAATGCGGCATGTTGCCAGCTATGCTACTGTTTATTTAGATAATCAAGGCATTTGTGTCTGTCTTTGGCAGTCAGCAAGGTCTGGTTGTTGAAGTGTGGGGTAAGGACTTGGGATTCTTGGGACCTATTCTCAGTTGCCTTGTTATGTAACATGATGCAAAGACTTCATCTTACTCTTCCTTTCTTTCTTTTTCTCTTTTTAAAAGAAGATTCTGTAAGGTCCTAGGAAAGTTACCATATGAAAGCAGTTTTTTGTTCTGCAGTAGAATATCACAAATGTTCACCAAAAGATGGTCACGTCTTTTCAGGAAAGGTTTTATTTCAAAGACTCTTGTCATGAGAGCTAAGGCTTCATTAGACAAAATGCACCATGGTGTACCCTTGGTAGCATTTAATCAGCTGTTAACATAGTGAACAATTAAA